ACTCTTTGTCTATATTTATTGAATACACGTACATACGATTTTTAACTACCCGTATTTGCAATTCTTTTTTATTTAATTTAAATTGGTAACCTTCACCTATTGACAATCCGTCAATACCTACCTACTTTACCAAAATAGTATAGGTGCCCGCCGGTACCGTTCAACAATATAATAATTCACTGATTGCCTAATTACTATAATTTGTTAAAACAATATACAATATACATATTATAATATGACAAAATATTATTACATAAATAGTTAAATTAGGTAGGTATACCCAATTAATATTGGAATGCATATTATAGGTATTATCATTTCGTCTCGATATAGATTACTATAGATCGGCAGGTAGGCACATAATATTATAATACTCTATATTATGCTACTTTGATAGTCAATAGACATTTTATATCGGTTGAAAACTATATAAATAGTTTGGCCAAACTTATCCATTTGTTACCTGTTTGCTAACTAGCTATTATTTTTAAATTATAGGTAGGTAGGTACCTATCTAATTAAAACTTAATCTGTATGACCATGTTTAAATATACTTCGAACAACCTACAAACTAAGAGTATATTATACGATATTCGCGCAACTTATATTAAGTCATTAAGAGGACGCTACACGGATTTTTGTTTCTCTGTCTTACAAATGCGTAACATAACAAAGGGCAAATTGTACGCTCAGAAGATCACGTTTAGCTCCGTTATAGTTTGAAAATTAGAGAGAATTTACCTCTTATAAAATGTATAGGTGAGATTGTTATCTGGGGTCTCTCATAAGCTTTTTATTATATTTTAATTTAAAAGTGAGTTATGCTTATTTTAAGATGTACAAACAATTTACAATTTTAAAATACTCATAACTCGCTTTAAAATTTAATAAAAAGTCTATGAGATTCCCTAGATAATATTCTTGCCTTTAAATTGTATAATAGGTAAATTCACTCTATTTTTTAAACTAACGGACTAAACTTAATCTACTGAGCTGTACAATTTTTCTATGTTACGCACTTGAAATACGAAGACAACAAATGTCTCTTAACACAAATAATTGTGTACCAAAACATCTATGATCTGACTTATATTTTACTACCTACTTAGTACTTAATAATCTTACTATTATACTATATATTATTTTAATAATTCATAATTATCATCTAAATTCCAGATTTTAACTTCCTAACTTAAGAGGACGCCACACGGGCAAACGAAACCGAGCTGCAATGACCAAGAGAATGCGCTGTTAGGTGTTTTCGCGATCCGCAAGCACGCGACGTTTAAGCCGTCCTCCGCCGTGTCGCAGGTGCGAGTCGCAGCACTGCAGCAGTAGATTATAGTGATTATACTATTATAAATTATAATATTGGCAGTAGCCAGTCACCAAAATTAAATTATTTCATATCGAAGCTATTCCTGGAAACTATTACGGGCGCGCTGATTACCGATAACCATAGCGCGCTAATTGCAGTCTATCGTGGACCGTGGTGGAGGAAATCGTATTCGATGTCGCAAGTCGCAACGACCGTAGGGCAGCAGCACACTACAGTTAACAATATTCAATGAAATTGAAATCTTTACGCAAAAATTGTTTCGCGCGGGAAAGAACCACAAAAGCTACAGTCATAACTAAGTAACGAAATTTTCACACCACAAACAAGAGAACTTTAACCGTGCAACCTCGTTTTTATTTTTTCGATATCATTTCTAAAAAAAAGTTATTCAAGTCTGAAAAACACAAAAATAATGTTTTTTAAAACAATAAGAACTTTTTTTTAAGAAGCGATATCGAAAAATTAAAAACGAGGTTGCACAGTCTATGGTCTACTTATTATTTGATGAAAATTTCGTTTCTTAGTTATGGCTGTAGCCTTCTCGGCTCTTTCCCGAGCAAAACGGTTTTTACGGACGAATTTATACATGTGTAGCGTCCTCTTAATACAGTTCCTAATCACTGGTGGATGTTCCCCCATAGGATGTCGTACACGGATTTCCTGGTAAAAGTGACGGCTATAAATTGAGGGCTGTGTTATAAAATATAAATGTATATATTATTATACAATTCTCACGAATTGTATACAAATGATGTGTTCGATTAATCGTGATGGGAAATCGTAATTAAAGTTTTGGTACTTGTCTAATATGCTACCTACCATAAAATGGTATCTACCAAAAAACTGTATGCGTATGTAACAGGTTATTTTTATTTAATTTCATTTTATTGCGGGAAAGTACATTTGAGTCATTACGATAATTAATAACATATTATAAGAGTTGTACAAAATTATAGCTTATAATAACCACTATGATAACTTTACTGATCCACCAAGTCCCATAGGCCATGATAACTTATTTTTAGATATATTATTTTAGTCTATGTTGTGTTTGTGTTGGGTTCGGGTATGTGTAATATTCGTTGCGAGTTCACATTTGTATGTGATGCTGACGATATTGTTGATGATTATTCAACTAAAAAAAATGATGGTACTCGCATTCAAGGTCCATGGATTTTTGATATGTGTTGTTATTGGAATTAAAACCCGAGGTGCAACAGATTTGTTAGGCCGAAATTTAAAAGAAGAATGGTGGCGGTCCATTAATACGCAACACGACTTATCAGAAGTTTTCTGGGATGACCGATGATGTAAAAATAATATACAATGTATAATAATATAATATAATGACATATAGAAATATTATTAAGTACTTGACAACAATAAATTAATAAATTATTTAGTAATAAACTGTTATTAATATTGTTGTCACTTTGTTATTAATCGATAATCAGTAAACGTTTTGTGGTACAAGCACGTATCCAGGATCAATTTTCGGGGGGGGTTTAAAATATTTTAAAGACGTATGTAGTTAGTTTTTGTTACCTATATTATAAATATATACCTACTTTAAAAATTTCGGGGGGGGGGGGGGGGGTTGAACCCCTAAAACCCCCCCTGTATACGGGCCTGTTGTGGTAGACATTGTTATAAGATAGATAGTATACTACACCAACGAAGTAGCGGTAGGTAGCCTAGTGCCAAAGTTTTTACAATTTAGATGATTTTTTTGTGTACCTACCTATATTTGCCATAAACAGTAAATACCTACCTACTCATTTTTTAATATTCCAATAAATAATTCTGTCAAATTGTACTATTCTAGAAAGTAAACATAATACAACAACTGTATTACATTAATTGTATTATCTACTCATTAATCGTGGTTACTAACTTACCTACATAAAAATAAGCATTTAGGTACCTTCAACAGTTCTACCTAACAAAATACTATTATATATGTATATTATTATTACCTATTGTATGGTCTTAATATTTTTTTCCCAAGTATTAGTTTTGTTTAATTTTATATTTAATGCAGTGAAGAAAAAGTTTAAGCATTTAATTTATTTTATTTTAAATGCAATACAATGTTTATTTTTATTAATAAAAATAAAGTTATAGTAATTCATTTCTTTATTCAGTATCTATAAAATTCAAGTCATTATTATTCATAAATATTATACAGGCATACTGTATACAGTTTCATTTAAGTTCCTACCTATTTTCTAAAATTGAGTGTATAATTAAAAACTTTTGTTTGAAGATAACTCATCTCACCTAACACAACGACATAAGTAAACTTTTATACAAATCCCGGCGAAAGGTAAGTTTTGAAAAAAGTAAGGCAATAAGTCCACTAATTTTTTTATTCTGACAAAAAGTTTGAAAATACTAAATATTCTATTACATTTTCATTAACAATTATGTAATATATTATAAGCATTACATATAATAGCAATAAATAGCATTTATAAATATGTATAATTAGTATTCATTTAAACATTATTGTTCCGTATGAAAATTTAAAATAACAATCAATATAAAAGTAAGTTCAAAAATATATATGAAAAATTATAAACCTTTAGGCTCTAACAAATGTTAAAAATAATTTTTAAAAAATAGTCAATACAAACATCAATCACTTTAAAATAATAATAATAGTAATTTAAAATAAATTACGTTTTTGTTGTTTATGACCTGTAATTTGAAAAAATATGTATTTAAAATTTGTACATAATGTTAAGGCCAAAAGGTTTATATTTTTGAACTTACCTTTGGTAATTTTTAATTATTTTGAATAAGGAGTAGTAATCAAATATAATAAATTATTGTATAAGAAAATTAATTACATTTTTGAAATGAATATTAATTATACATATATATATCTAATATATTAGACTATTGATTATTAATATACTTAAAAATGAAAATTTAATAGAATAATAGAATATTTTTATTTTCTGACTTTTTGTCTGACGATAAAAATGTGCTCGGACTTTTTGACCGAAAGTACTTTTATACCAAGGTAGGTAGGTACTTAAAAACTAGATATATGGTATAGGTATCAATATGTATCAGATGTGTTACTTGAAATAGTCACGGCATTATAATGTTTAAATTGGCTTAATGAACAAGACATGAACGTTTTTACTTTTAAAAAGTCGGAACAAATTAAAGTCAAACACAGGTACATTATATAAACGAGTATAGGCCTATACTGAAGGTAGATTAATATTATTATTATTATTTCGAGATTTTTCTATATAAATATTAATATTACTGCGATAGAAATGGTTACAAAACCTTGAAGATTTTCATAATGCTCAAAATATAAGAGGCGCATTGCAATACTGCATTATTTAATTAGGGAGGTACTCATTTCAAGCATAACAAGTAGATATGTACAGTGTAGGTACATTATTAACTTAGATTATTTTTAATTAATTTATTTCGACTAGCAATTACTTTAAGAAAAAAAAAAATTAAATGATAGTCACTTAGTTACCTTTCCAGTAAATTATAATAAGTACATAACAAGAAACTTTTCAATTTTGGTATACCTAACATGGATTAGTGATAAATCATAGTGATGTAAATTTTACAGTGATATTGTGGACTTTAAATTATATTCAAATGGCATTCATTCAAAATAAATATTTTAAATTCTAGACAAGATTTCTCTAGAAATTCCTAATTTTAAGTCTCTATGAATATTAAATATAGTTTCACACAGCAGCTCATCAATTATTGAATCTACTTTTTTCCTAACTTCAGGAGTGTAACGACTTAAGGTAGACTCCTTTAAAACTCTTAATTCCAAAATACGAGTTTCTTCATCTTTATTGTTGTCTTCTTCTTCAATGTAGTTTCCTTCTTCATAATAGTCTGCAAATGGCAAATGCCTCCGCATAGCAGTAAAATTGTCCATCTCTAATGATTCAAAGGATCTGAAAAGTAAAATAGTATTAAACTTTTGTTAATATTTTATAGAAAACAGATCATAGGAGTTGTAATAAATTGTATAATATTAAAATAGAATATTAGTAACTTATTATTTTAGCTAAATTCTTAAAAGACAAGTAATAATTATTCATTGTTAAAAAAAAATAGCTGATTGTTGTTACATAGTAGGGTTTAAGTACCTATTATAAAATATACCATTATTAATGTTTGCCCATGTAAATGTGTATCGACTGTCGTGATTTTTGACTAAATAATGAAAACCGCTACAACTTAAAATAATTGAAGGCATCAATGTTTAAAAACCAATAAGAGTAATAATTTAAGTGTTTGAGTTTATAATACTTATAAAAAGTTAATATGAATAATACAAATTTAAAACTGGAAAAATTTTACTGTTTACCAGTTTATACCTATATTTATAAAAAAATATTTAAAATAAATATAAAATATATTTAAAAAAAATAAGAATTATACATGCCTATTGTGTAAATCAATAAAGAAATATATCTGATAAATAATATAATGCCTTGTATAATATGATAATTATAATAATTTTATATTGTTTTAAAACATTATAATTTAAAACTCAATACGCAATAGTTTGTTTGTAAAATAGCATATATTTAAATTTATAAAAAAAATATAGTAATAATAGAGTAAAATTGAATTTATAGATTTACAACATTTAAATATTTCTTAGTTCAAAAACAGTAAATCTGACACAAGTGTTACAAAAATACTATAATTTATGTTTTAAAAATAAAAACATGAATAAATTATCAAGATCAAGATCTTACAAATACTTGTATTGGTATCCTACAATATTATTAATTTGAGTTAAAATACAAATTCATTAAATTCTACGATAATATTTTTTCACATAATTATTTAATTTTAACCAAAAAAAAATTAAAATATATTTTGAAGATTCCAAATGTTTTTGAGTAATAATAAAGTAATAATATTAAACTTAACATTTAAGTGTACACATAAAAAAATATATTTGTAAAAACAAATATTGTATAGTAGGTAATCTATAAACATACAATTTAATTCTGAGCCAAAAACTTTAATTTGATTCATATGAATTTAATACCTACTTCGCCTAGTATTTAATATAGACAAATATCTATTATTCATCACAATTTTAAAGAGGTATTTAATCAAACAATTACTGTTAGATGAAAATTAAACTGAACAGTGAATAAGTGATGTATGGTTTAACAATAACTTAAATAATATACTTAGGACATTCAATCAACAATTTGAACCATCAATTATACTAATGACTAACAAATAAACGCCAACTTTAAAATATTTGAAAATAAATTAGTAAAAAAATAAAATAATATAATTTACAGCCTTCGGTAAAATGGTTAATATTTAATTTGTTTTAAAAATAGACATCCTACAATTAATGAAGTCAAATTTTAGTTACATATTTTAAAAATTGACAATTGATAGACATGCAAAAATTGATTTCATATACCTACTTAAAATTATTTATCTAAAACACTTTAAAAACTAAGAGAATGATTATTATTTTTGGATGATACATTAAATATTTAAAATGGACATAACTAAGACATAATATTATTAAAATAATTGATAGCCATATTTAGAGGGAATTTCTAATTAAATTAAATGTTTATATAATATAATATTATAGTACTTAAATACTAAATATTGTTTTGTTAACATTTAAAGTTTAGACATACTAATTTAGGTACTAAAAACAAAAATAATAAAATGTATAATTTAATGATAATGTACTTAAAACTCAAGACTCTCAAAGAAACTTTAAATTTAAAATAATACTAGTTGGAAAAAAATATTATGATGTATACAGAATAAAAAAAATTATTAGCGATTATAATATAAACTTATACTTTAAATTATATTTCAGTAATTTAGGAACCTTCAGTACATTTTTGAAAATTCAATTTTCATGTTTATAGGGTTCGTCCCGTATTGTAAAATAAAATAAAATAAAAAAACATTCAGTTTATTATACAAGCATTCTAGCTTAAACCAGCATATTACTTAAACTATTTTATTGAATTAATTTTGTTTTTATCAATTTGGTATTTTTATTATTATAACACGGTTGTTGTACTATCTACAACTGAAGAATTTACTAACCAAGTGATATGAGTATATCACTGATTATATTGTAATAACATAATAATGGCCATGTGTGTAGTGCGATGTGCCATTATTCTAAATTGCTACCGATCTAGTATCTATAATTTCACTTTTTACTTAGTAGTGTTTCAATTTTTAATTATGAATAACAAAAAATTCAATAGAGCATTTAAAATTATAAATCTGTTACCAAGTCATTGAAATGCGAGTCGAAATGTAAGTAAAAAAAACCATCAAGTTTTATTAAGGAAAACATAGGATTAGAAATCGACGAAGAAAAAATGACTAATATAAAACAGTGGTTTAATACTGTTCCATCCCCATTAACAATAATTAATGAAAATACTAAAATTGAATTTAGTCATGATGAACAAGTTATTTTTGATAACTTTAACTCTTGCTCAAAAATGTTTTGTAATAAATATACCTGCTGAATGCAGTACTACTGGTGCAATAAGAAATTCAGATCAATATTTCAATACTGTAATAATAATATTATTGACGCAGTAGACGTAGAAATTATTGGGGAAGACCTTAGTTATGATATTGGAATGGGCAATGTCGATAGTAATTATGATGACAGTTAAAATCATGAAGTAAAAAATAATGACAGCATTGTTAATACAGTTAGTGATGTAGAAATGATTGAGGAAGAGCTTGATTTTGAAACTGAAATAATCAATGACAAAAATTATAAAGATTTACAAATTGGTACAAGTGCTTACAGAAAAAAATTAAAGGGTAATAAACGAAAAATAAACTCAGCACTTAGAATTGAAGGCAAAGATTATAAAATTAGAAAAGGGACTTCGGTTAAAAAAAAATTGGTTCTCACAAACCCCTGCGTCTCAAAAAAATGCCAAAATGCTTGTGGTTACATTAGTGAAGAAATTAGACAAGATGTTTTTGATTCTTATTACCAACTAAATAGTCAGCAAAGAAAGATTTCCTAGTATCAGCAATAAAAATAGAAAAAGTGAAAAGAAGATATTCAGCCTCTACTATTATTAAAAAATTTTGTTCAAATTCATATTTTCTCCCAATTGAAGGTGTTATAACAAAAGTTTGGCAATAATTTCTTTTAAAAACTCTAAATATATCACAAATTTATTTAACAAATACTAATGTAAATAAAACAGATATTTTGACTGATAAAAAAGATCAATAAAGATCATAATTGTGGTAAAACCCACCACACAATAAAACAAGTGAAGATGACATAAGAAATATTGAAAATCGTATTAAAGAACTACATGCTATCCTATCTCATATTGTAGGTACTTCTAAAAAATATTTGCTAGCAGAGCATAAAAATATTTCTGTTTTTATATTATTTTAAATTTCAATTAGCATAATGCGTTAAATAATTTGTATTGAATCAAAAAGTTAACTATTATTATTTTGTTTTAAATAATTATTTATATAATAAAATTATTACCTAATATTGTTTTTAATGTTTAACTGTTTTTACTATTATTATTTTGTTTTTAATTATTATTAATATTATTAATATTGTATAATTAAAATCTAATAAAATATTTAATTGAGGGTTACACTATTTGGAACAGTTTTTTATTTAGCGTCAATTAACCGACGATAATATTTATATCGGTATCTGTAACAGTGTGTTTGTTGTAATTCTGTTGATTTTTGTCTTCATCTATAGGAGACTCAACTTGCTGAATATTTCTTGAGTCGTGGGTGGTTACGGTTTCATAACTCTAGTTGTAACCGGACAAGAATCTTCAGTTTCTCTTTCCTAAAAATAAAATAAAATAATTAGGACTTTTTTTTCCAGGAAGATTTGTTAAAATATTTAGTTTTTCTTTTACTCCATTTGAGGTTCATTGAGCTGGCTTATTATGGTCTTTTGCAATATGATCAAAGCAATTAATTGGACTATCAAAAGATTTAGAACCGAGTTTAGAACACACTTGTCATCATTTCTGCTGTTGCTTCATCTTAAATAAATAAAATATTTAATATAATTAAATGTATATAAATTAAGAGATCAAATCAAAATTGTGTATTTCTATAATGAAATAACAATAAAACAAGGTAAGTCAAAAACGAAAAATATTAACAAACATACCGTGGTTGAATCACAGTGTGTACCATGCATTTTGTCGATGTATTTGTACCAAAAAGTCGCTGAATTCAGTCATTATTCTATTGATCATGCTGGTTGAATTAGTCGATTGTCGAAACGTCTACTGGTAACAAACAAAATATTATTACATGGAATAACCAGAAACTTGAAAGTTCTTACTTTGATACATTTTTGAGAAAAATTAAACTCCTGGGCTAATCTTGGCTTTGTGTAGATTCATTTGTGAGGTACCGGGGTGCTCCAGGCTAAAATAAGTTATGAATATAAAATGTAAGACAACATTTAGGGTCTAGGATATACGAAAATAAAATTAAAAATCAATTATTTTTATTTTTATTGTCAAGTTTTAATACGACGGACAGGGACAGTTCATATACTTGGTCGCTAAAGTGCCAAATTTTAAAGTTAAGTTTAATATTTTAGTTGCCATCTTAATTATAATACATATTTAGTGGGGGGGGGGGGGGGGCTGATAGGGTGTATTATATTGAAAAAAAATGATTTCACAGGAATAATTCTCAGGCCTTGTGGAATTGTGCCTAACTATTTTTTTTATCTGAAAGAAGAAGACTTCCTACAGGCCGATCAAACTCCATTTTTTATTATATTTTAAATAATGGTATAATATAGTTTGTATAAAGCAATTATTAAAATATTAATACAATTATTGGTATTCATTTAGTATGTGACCTACAGAGTGAAAATCGAGTTTAGTATGTGACCTACCAAGACGATTATCTATATTATGTACGGGTACTGATCTATTAACAGGTAAGATGAATTTTTGAAATTTAAGTAAAATACAAAAAGTGTATTTCTAAAAATATAATTTAAATAAAATAAAACTTTTTTATACCTAACAACATAATTTTATGAAATCTATTGAATAGTTTTGACATACCTATTGCTGTTATAGGTACCTGTGTCTTCATTCATTTTGTTTAACTCATTTTGACATTGTTAAATGTAATCCTGTATTATTTTATATTTGTATATTGTATTACTAATATATTAGTTAAATAATTATTAACATAATTTTATGATTTTTAATTTAACTGTTTTTAAATTAATTAATGGTCCTGTGGATCATATACTAAATGAATACCCAATACGGTAGGTCACACGGTCTGGAAGGTCACATACTAAACGAATACCCAATTATTTATGTAGACATACCTATTATAAAGTTTAAGATCAAAATATTCAATACTGAAAAACGGAGTTCGTTGAGGCCCGTAGAATATTACCCTTAAGTTAAAAAAAAATTTTCAAAAAAGGTTAATTCTACAGAACAGGATCATTAATCCCGTAGAGAGTATTTTTGGGTACAAAATTACATTGGCATCGGATGCCTTTATATGATTATAAGGACATGATACCCGCATGTGTTGTCTTTGTCTTACAAGTGCGTAACATAGCAAATTCTAAGCTCAGCAGAACACTTGTAGCTCCGTTAGTTTAAAAATTATAGTGAATTGACCTCTTATAAAATCTAGAACATAAATCTTAAGAACATAATTTTAAAGCGAGATATGAGTATTTTAAAATTAATAAAATTGTAAATTATTTGTACATCCTAAAGTAGGTACTCATAACTTGCTTAAAAACTAATATATAATAAAAAGCCCACGAGGTTGCCTGGATAATAATTTTACCTTTAGATTTTATAAACTAACAGAGCTACAAGTGTTTTGCTGATCGTAAACTTTGCTATGTTACGCACACAAGTGGGTTCCCTGGTCAATATAATATGATATACTCAATAGGTACCTAGTCAATAATGACTTATAATTAGTTATATTATATCAATAATGTATACCTACATTATTATGCATAAATACTTGGGATATTTGTAACTTGCCTCCGGACAATTTTTAGTTCACCACACCACTGGGAAGACAATTTGTGGGTTGTAAACAAAATAACGTTGACGTGTTACGTGCATTTCGTCGGGGAAAAAAATAACAAACACCTGAGACGACGAGCGTTCGAATTACGTGACGAGAGGTTCGCCGGACGTTGCGACCACTGTTCATTTAAGTTTAGATGTAAACGAGTGACAACGCGATGGCGTAAACGAACACCGACCGAATTCGTCACGCACAGGTCACGGACGTAAGAGTTAAAAAAAACGAAGAACGAAATAAAGAAACAAGAAACGGGACTACTAAACAGATAACAGGAGAAACAAAGCACAAGCGGCTAGCCCACGATTACTGATTAGGCAGTATCAGTATTAATTCTCTTTTCTGAGGAGGTATACGGCGGCGGTAACGAGTTGATAACGTTTGTATTGACCGGCGGCGTCTGCTACAGTGCTACACAACACCTCCACAGCCTGTTTGTACGACGGATTTTGACAAGCAAACCGCCGTCGGCACTCGGCCGTCGCCGGCGGTCAACGATCGAACGCGGGAACTCACAAAGACACAAACACGGACGACGCACAGTGTTTTGAAATCGAAAAAAGCTGTAATAAACTAATTATTTTCAAATGTCACATTATACAAAACCCAAAACTATCGGATCATTAATTATTTACTTACTGGTGAATAGTTGGCATAAATCTAGTTTAGGGGCCAAGCGATTTTTTCAATTTTTTTTTTATCGGAACTTATGTATCTCATCGAGTTAAGAACGATGGTGCAATCAGAATTTGTCGCTCTCATTTAGTTCCGAAGTTATAATGGCCTTCCAAAGTTTTCGATTTTACGTTTATACGCATGCGCGCAACACTACTATAATGACGCGCGGAGAACCAGCGTCCGAACCAGCGTCCAAAACCTTGTTATTTTTTGGTACATACGTATTCGGTATACCTTTTTTTTTTTGAAACTTATGTAGTTATGTATTATGTACCCTGTGACATACTTGAGGTGGTGTTTCATAGCAAGTCGGGGGATATTTTCGATTTGCGGAGCGGAGCGACGGCGCCGAGGAGCGTAGCGACGAGTGCCTATACAAGCGTAATGACTACCCATATACTATGACATAACTTTTCCTGTAACCTACTTAAGGTGGTGTTAATGACTTACGCGTAATGACTTTGAATTGCCATAACTTTTGAACGGTAAGTTTGTCCGAGCGAGTGGCCACGCTTGCAAATAATATACATCAATTATAATTTGAAAAATACGTAAGATAGATAAAAATTATTAAGTGTTTATAACATATACGTAGAAAAACCCATGTATTAATCGGGATACGTAGATAAAAGTTGGGTAAGTCTACCCGCCTGCTGAAGGGTTAAATAACAAAAATGGTCCTCCGCGCGTCATTATACTATTATAGTAGTGTTGCGAGTATGCGTATAAACGTAAAATCGAAAACTTTGGAAGGCCATAACTTCGGAACTAAATGAGAGCGACAAATTCTGATTGCACCATCGTTCTTAACTCGATGAGATACATAAGTTTCGATAAAAAAAATTGAAAAAATCGCTTGGCCCCTAAACTAGATTTGTTCCGCAACTGCCTACAGGGGCGGACTGGCTCCTTCAGAGCGGCCCGGGAATTTTTTTTCAAGCGGCCCATCGCCCATAAACCATTGTCTAAGGTCTTTTTTTGTAACATCGATTTCGTTGCTGCCTGCCGGAACTACTTAAGCATTATATTGACATATTGTCTAAGGCCTAATCTAATACACTATTGCAGCACTTACGTTTGAAATACCAGACATTTTCTCAGTTGAATATTTAAATTATAATTAATACTAACAGAAGATAAATAAAACATTTTAGAAATTTGATGGACATCAATACCCTATTACCCTATTTGCTATCAATAGGTATATTTCTTTTATATTATTAATCGGTAATCGTCAACCAGTACAAAAGTATATTTT